TTTGTTTTATCCCTGTATCTTTAGTTGTCGGATTGGTCCCCGGTATACATATTTATCAAGTTGTCTATTTTTGAATAAATTTTTTGATAGTATAATAGATAATAATTTTAAGTAAATAAAATACCTTGTAAAGCCACCCAAAGACTTGGTTTATAGCCTTTTTTTAGTTTCGTATACGTTGTTCCTTTTAAGCTCTTTTTTTTCTTTTTTTTTTGGAGTATTGTGGTTCCTCGTTGCCCAGGCCTGCGAGTGGCAATGGCACGATCCGGCCACACCTGCACCTTCTGCCTCCCAGATTTCTCCTGGCCTCAGCCTCCCTGAGTACGAATTACAGCCCATGCGCCACACGCCTGGCTAATTTTGTATTTTTAGTACAAGAGACGTGGGTTTTCTCGCGCATGTTGGTCACTGGTCTCAAACTCCCGACCTCAGGTGATCTGCCCATCTTGGCCTCCCAAAGTGCTGGGATTACAGGTGTGAGCCACCGTGCCCAGCCTGAGCTCTTTTTCTAAGACACATGTCACATGCACACACTTTAAACACAATTGGAATGTCTCATGTCTGGTCTGGGATTCTATATATAATACAATCCTAAAGTTATATTTTGCATATTGATTTAACCCTAATTTTTTTCTCTTGTGGTTAAATATTCTGTGAAAATACATTTAAGAAGTACATAATTTATTTTTCTGTTGTTGGACATGTATCTTGTTTTAATATTTTTACCACTGTCATGAGCTGATATTTATTTAACAGTATTTTAGAAAATATTACGTGTAATGCATAGAATGTGGTAATTTTGAATAATTTATATGTTAGAAAGCTAATATTATTTTTATGGGTTTAAGTTGATTTTTAATAATTTGCACATATCTTTTAGCTCCATCTTAAAATACTTTACAAATACTTGGACTCTACAGAAAGGCTAAATCTTTTTTTGCTTCTGGAAGTTAGGTACATCAGAAAAAAACCATAGGAGGAATTCAGTAAGTTGTCCTTGCAACTTTACTGGTGACTAGATGCAACTATTAGAATGAATACGTGTGTAAAATGAAGTCAGCGTTTCACTTCTGTTCCCTTCTGTCTCACTTGGGGAGTGTGGCACAGAAGCTGTGATTGCTGTAACGTGAAACCTGAGGGTCTTTACCGGATGATCCAGTGGTAGGCGTTGTCCACTCTGACGGTCAGCATCCTGCTCACCCCTGTGGAACAAGCTGGATGTGTGTCCAAGCTTGTGGCTCCTGTGGCAGGTCTGTGCCCACAGGAAGGCTGATGAGGGAGCTTTGGACCCATCATTGCTGTGGGCATGTGGATACTTTACACCGGTCCTGCCATTGATCGGCACAGGTGGTGGTCACCCTTCTTTCCTGGTCCCTCACAGACATACCTTCACTGGCTCAGGGAGGCAGTGGAATGAGAGGCTCCCCACCCCCAAAAGCAGTGCTATGTGCTCAACACACACAGTTTCATCTGAACTGTATTATTGGCCCCTGCAGGGTATTGTTTGCCCCATATGATGGACAAATGCGCTGAGGCTGAAGCATGTGAAACTTGCAAATGTGGAGCCGGAATTGGAGTCCAGGTTGTTAGAATCTAAGCCCTGTGTATTAACCAAATTGCTGACTTTTAAACATAAGTAGATTTATAGTTGGCTTAACAATTTATAAATAAAACTTTTTCCTTTTTGTTAGGGAAAAAACCTATTGGGTTTAGTGTTCTCACAGACAGCATTACTTTTTGGAAATGAACTATCCTGTGTGTTTTTTCTTTTCATATTCCTAATGAAGACATCATTTTGGTTGCTTTCGGAGAGCGTCAGATTATTGGAATAATCTGGAAGTTTGAATATAAATGGAATTGCGTATGCAGTCATTTTGAAAGACCTTCTGTACTGAGCTTGCAGAGGGTGGGGATTCTGTAAATGCTTGTTAATGCTGTGAGGGGCAGACAGGGAGGCTGAGACAGGAAACCTTGTGAGTCCAGGCTGCTCTCCACTACAGAATCACTAACACAGCTGTTTTGCCTCCTCTTCTTCCCTAGGCAGAAGGTTATGTTATTGGAAGCTGCATCAAACACATCCCGATTGCAGGTAGAGATATTACGTATTTCATTCAACAGCTGCTAAGGGAGAGGGAGGTGGGAATCCCTCCTGAGCAGTCACTGGAGACAGCAAAAGCCATTAAGGTAAAAACAGATGGGAAACCGGCTGGTTTGGGGGTGAGAGAGATGGTGTTCTGGACACTTCCCCTCGGTGCCATCATCCCTGCTTCTCCTTTCCTTCCTCTCCCCTTCCCATGAGTGTGGGGCTTGATTTGTTTTACCCCTTGAGTTAAGTGGGCTGAAGATGTAAAGCTTAACCTCTTCCAAACTAGATGCTCTGAGGTTCCAGCTGTCACTGAGAACAGCTTGGTAGCTGGTGCAGTGTACCAGCATGCAGAGGCGCATTGTTCAGCTGGAACCTCACTGCCAGAGCCTCAACTACCAGAGCGCTCCTTCCATACTGCCTCCATGCTTCACTGTAGAATCAGGAGGCGACTGCAGCAGCAGAACACTGCCACCCTAGAATCCAGAGCTATTGCACCAAATTCACACACAGGTGTGGGTGTGACGTGTGGCCATAAGCATCTCCTTCCTTTACTGCACAGTTTCTGAGTGTAGTGGAGCTTGAGGAGGGTGAGCCTGACACCCACCCTTCTCCTCACTGCCTTCCTCCCTTCTCAGCACCTTGTAACTGAGGCTGCTTGAAGGAAAGGAAGCATCAGAGATGATTCCCGAGGTGTTTTTAGGACAGGAAGCACTGGCATGGGGCAGGCTCTGCAGTTGGGTATGACCTGCCGTACTTTACCTGGAACCAGAGATTCCTGGGAAGGAGGCTCTCAGTGCTGAAATGGTGACATGGGGAAGACGTGGTCCCTTCCATCTCAGGGGGAGGTTTCCTGAGGTATCATTAGACATTCTTTTTTAGACTAAAATTTTTCCTAAGGGGTTACCGTCTCCTTTCTTTGCCTTTCCTCAATGGAAGAATATTTGACTTTTTGATCCAAGCTCCCTTGCCACTCCAAATCTGTTAGAAATGTAAGTCAGAATGGAGCCCCTTCATAGTGGCTCACACGTATAATCCTAGGACTTTGGGAGGCCGAGGGGGGAGCATTGCTTGAGGCCAGGGGTTCGAGACCAGCTCAGGCAATATAGCGAGATCTAAGAATTGAGCCTCTTGTTACTGATACCCAGGGTCCACTCCAGTGGGTCTGAGTCCTTCCTATTTCCACCAGGATTGCTGAGCGGCACTGCTAAGGAGAGGCTTTCCTGACCCTCATGCTGGGCCTTACACTCTCCTCAGGGCTGTTGGAGTTCCAATTTGGACCCTGAAATCTGGGCTGGTGTGCTCGATGTGACTGTGTGTCACCCTCCTGTGAAGGCTGGGAGTAAAAGACTCTGGTCATAGCCTCCAAATCAGCTGCCCTGGCCCTGCTGTGTGGGGTAGCCCTGTTAGTTCTTGCCTCACTTCTCTCTTTAAAGGAACAGATCCTGAAAGGCGTGGTTTAGAGCTCCCCCTGCTTCCCTTTACTGCCATGGCCTTCTGTGGTCGTGAGCAGGCCTGAGGGAGTGTGTACCGTGAACACACCACCTTTGCATCATGAATCCTGAACCTTAAGATTAAGCCTGTTACTCTGCACCCAACTCCATGGAAGCATTTCACAGGAAGCGTTTGAATTAAGTGAGCTGAGATGCTGTGGGATGTTGCCAGGCCTGTGAGGAGAACTGAATGCCTTTGTCTCCAGTCTTGGTTGATTTGAGGTTGTAATCAGCTGACCCTGTTTCTCTGTGTCATCAAGGAACACAGGGTTGTGTAACACTTCTTGCCTGTCAGTCTTCTTAAAATTCTGCTAGAGTATATCCAAGATACCCAGAAGATGGCATTAGAATATGTTTCAGGGATGCTAAGAAACTTTAAACTTAATACCACAAGAACGTCTTTGGAGGTCCTTGAGAGAACCATTCCTTCCACGGTGTGCTGAGTGCCAGCTGGGCAGCCCACCTGGTGTTTCCCGTAGGCAGCGAGTACCTGGGGGTCACCTGCTGCTTGGCTGAGGCCAGCTCTAAGGACACGTATCAACACAAAGGTGTCCAAGAATATTAATCTCACCAGATACTCAGGAAACACTTCGCATCCCTCAGGCTGCCTGTCGGTGCAGGGCGGAGATCGTTAGCGGGTTCTCTCACAGCAGCAGCATCCTGGCAGCTCCAGTCCTCTCCCCTGACTCTCCTTTTCCTTTATTCCCTGGGACCTATCACTGTATAACCTACCATGTCATTTACTTGTTATGGTTGCTTATTGTTGTCTGACTCCCAGCTGGAGTGTAATCTCAGCAGGGATCTGTGTGTGTTTCGCTCACTTGTGTCTCCCAAGTGCCTAGACAGTAAATCTGTGTTAATTGAGGGACTTAGAAGACCCAGTCAACAAGGTACACTATGTCTAGGCAAAGAGATGGTGTCAGTGGAGCTGGTGACAGTGCTGTGGCCAGCTCCACACCAGATTAACAACCAGCAGGTTGACAGTGGCCACCCAGCTTGTGGATGCTGGGACCGAAAGAAGCCTCTGCAGTCAGGTGTTAGGGTGTAGACAGTGCTGCTCTCGGTAGGTGAGGCTGCAGCATGGGTCTGCTGGTCCGGTGTGGACAACAGAGGGGTGCCAGGGCAGGCCATAGGGGGCACCTGAGAGGAACAAGGCAAGACGTGCTTTCTAGACACCTACAGACATCATTTCAGATATGATAGCGATAGAATTGGATAGACCAAGGCTGAGATTAATAGCTGAGTTGCAGAGAAAGCAGACTTACCTGTCCAGAGTCCAAGTGTAACCATGTCTAATATGAAAGACGATGGAATGTGAGACCTGACACGTATCCACACTGGAGTGACAGTGGGGGTGGTTCTGATCCCAGGGTGTGTTTACTGCATGGGGTTCCTGGTTATTTGTCTGAGGGCAGAGACACTGGGCGGTTGTTAATGCCTGGCAACATCTTTGTGTGTGTATGCAGGAGAAATACTGTTACATTTGCCCTGATATAGTCAAGGAATTTGCCAAGTATGATGTGGATCCCCGGAAGTGGATCAAACAGTACACGGGTATCAACGCAATCAACCAGAAGAAGTTTGTTATAGACGTTGGTTATGAAAGGTTCCTGGGACCTGAAATATTCTTTCACCCGGAGGTAAGATGTTTCCTTTTGTGTGTGCTCAAGTGTGTGGGATGGAGCGGTACTGCCACCCAGAGTGCGGAAAGAGCATTTCCCAGCAAAGGGCCTGTGAGCAGGGCGGCCGTCGTTCTGTCTCCCCGCATCCCCCGTGCCGTTTGTCTGCTTGACAGATTGTTCAGTTTGCCTCTCCTCTTGGCTGTCTGTGTTAATAATTAAAGATGGGTTATACCACAAATAGGAAGACTTATAGGAGCAATAGACGATAATAGAACTAAAAGTAATCTTCAAGGGTTGTGGGTGGTCACATGCTAGTATTACGAGTAGCTATAATCTCAAGGACTACGTGGAGGTTGCCTGTGCCTCAGAGTGGGATAACATATAACCTTTCCATCTTTGGTGATTGCCCTTCCTAACTTCTAATTTTAACCCTGGACGGTTGATCCTGCTCTGTTCCCTGCTGCAAGTTAGGTTAATCTTCTGTCTAAGGCCAGCATTTCTGTTATTTAGGTAATCTTAAGAATTAGAAATGTCATCATTTTAACTAGTAGTTGTAAGGAATTATTAGTACTTTTGCAGAAAGCAGTAATTAAGAGGCACATTTTAAGATTTACATATAATGCATTTTATTTATATTTTGATATATATTCCTGGCTACTTCAGTTTGTATTCGATAGGTGGGTTACAAGCTGCTGTTTGGTTTTAGATGTGTATATGGCTGTTTTGTGCAGAGAAACAGCATGGAAAGTATACCTCACTAGTAATGCTGAAGAATAAAACGATGGCAATGATAATCCAGCGAATGCCCGCTTTTAATCTATGGATTTGAAGTGGACATAGACAAATGTCCAGTGAACAGCTTGTGAGCCCCTGAGTGGCCTCCTCCTTCCTCTGAGAATGCACATTCAAGCTTTCTTTGATTTTTAACATATTTCAAATGAAATGTAATTGAGTTGACGCTTGTTTAACTCATGGAATTGAATCTAAGGCTGTTTATTCAATAACGTGATTATCATGTGGATTGTTTCATTTTAAACAAACACTTCTTGTTAAACAAAACACTTCCCTCCATCTTCTAGACCAGGTTTAATTAATCTTTCATTGAACCTGTTTCTTTTTCCTTATATCCTGATTTTCTCATAATACGAATATTGCCAAATGATATGTCAAACTCACGTTTCTCACTGCGTATCACGTGGATCGTGCACATACTCTCCACTGCTCTTATTAGGCTGAATCACTGTGTGCTCATGGTGTGAGGATGGTCTGTCTTTGATATTATCGGTATTTTTTCTTCACTAAATCCATACATTTTACCTCATGAGGAGAAATATGTCATCACCACCCCACGCACACGTAGTCACTGGGATTCATTTGACATATCCTTCATTCCAATGTGAATTCTTTTTTTTTTTTTTTTTGAGATGGAGTCTCGCTCTGTCGCCCAGGCTGCAGTGCAGTGGCTGGATCTCAGCTCACTGCAAGCTCCGCCTCCCGGGTTCATGCCATTCTCCTGCCTCAGCCTCCCGAGTAGCTGGGACTACAGGCGTCCGCCACCTCGCCCGGCTAGTTTTTTGTATTTTTTTGGTAGAGACGGGGTTTCACCGTGTTAGCCAGGATGGTCTCGATCTCCTGACCTCGTGATCCGCCCGTCTCGGCCTCCCAAAGTGCTGGGATTACAGGCTTGAGCCACCGCGCCTGGCCCCAGTGTGAATTCTTTTAAGTTATAATAAATTGTATGTTTGTTAAAGTTACTTTAAAAAAAGTGTTCATGTTGTTCTATTTGAGAGAAATGTGTAATGTTTCTTTTCTATTGATATACAATTCAGTTTGCCAACCCAGACTTTATGGAATCCATCTCAGATGTTGTTGATGAAGTCATACAGAACTGCCCCATTGATGTGCGGCGTCCGCTGTATAAGGTATAAGCTGCGTGGGTAAGGTACCTTGATTTCATTCCACAATTAAAGGTCCATCATTCTTAGAAGACGGTATTACTATTTATTACTAGTAGATATTCCTGTTTCACCTTCTGTTTCATAGGATTTGTTAAAGACAGTATAATTGTAAGAGAAAATGGAAATGACTCAGTTAACTAGAATTTTTATTTTATTTTATTTTATTTTGGAGACGGAGTCTTGCTCTATCACCCAGGCTGGAGTGCAGTGGTGCGATCTCGGCTCACTGCAACCTCTGCCTCCTGGGTTAAAGCAATTCTTCTGCCTCAGCCTCCTGAGTATCTGGGACTACAGGTGCATGCCACCATGCCCAGCTAATTTTTTTTTTTTTGTATTTCAGTAGAGACAGGGTTTCACCATGTTGCCTAGGCTGGTCTCAAACTCCTGAGCTCAGGCAATCCACCCACCTCGACCTCCCAAAGTGCTGGGATTACAGGCATGGGCCACCGTGCCCGGCCGACTGGAAGTATTTAAGTATTGTAAATATATTTTATTATTATCTGACAAGATATGTTTTAAGTTGAACAGTTTTAGCCACACATATTGATTGAAAGTAAGAGCGATACCCTCTCCCATGCTTTCTGTGAACTCCTTTGATTTCGTTTTATGCATATGTGGGTTTAGTGCTGATGTGGTGTTGTCAGATAGAAGTTAGAACCCAAAATGGGACAGTCCGATAGAATATGCTCATGTATTTTTTTTTCCCCAAAATTCTTTGATTGCAGGGAATTTTGAAACCTGGAATGAGGTTTCTAGTCTATGTGATTATTGAGTAAAAAGAAGTCCTGCTGACAGCCAGAGATGGCGAGCAGGTGGTGATGGGCAGTTCGCCTTCCTGCACCTTTATCAGTGTTTGCTTGAGGGAGTCGTGCCGTCAGCTCGGTGGCGTGACTCACTCGCCTCATTCAGACTCAGGTTGCTGAACTGTACAGAGAAGCGAATCAGGCTCAACAGACAGCACTCAGCATTGCGTCACCTGTACCGTGCAATACTTTGTAGCTTTTAAAAAGAATGAGGTAAATCAATATAAATTCAGATGAAAAGATAGCTACAGTATAAAGTGAAAAAGGAACTTGTAAAATTTATATATTTCATTTGATATAAAATATAGTTTGCATATTTTTTGAACTATATATGCTAAACTCTTAAAGTAAATAAAATATCTTTGGGGTAGAATGATGAGTAAGTTTTACTTTCTCCATTTTGTGTTTTAAAGTTGTTTGAAATTTTGTTAAAATTTTTTTATAATTAAAATTTATTTCTGTTTAGATAACTTTTGTGGGTATAAACAAATTATAGTTCAGTTTTTACTGCATATTCTTAAACACTTGTCTAATAAAAAGTACAACGAAAGGGAAACTAAAAAGAGACTGGAGTATGAAAATTAAGAAAGATAGCAGGTCATGTCCTTCCCACTTCAGTCCCGGCTGACATTCGCTGTGTCTTCTCATCTGTGAAAGCAGCAGCAGGTGAGCACTGTTCAGTCTTAATCCCACCATAAAGCAGAGGAGACTGCCAGCAGTTACGGATTGTTCCTGATGGGCTGGGAATTTTCTTGTTTGACAGTTTAGTTCCCTGGACTTCCATAGAAGTTTTGGAGTAGAGATGGTCTTGGAGACCAGGTAGATGGAGTCCGTTATTTAGTAGATAATGACACTGAGCCCCAGAGTTGGGAAAAGGTGGTGAAAGGCACCTGGGTTACGTGCTAGGTGAGATCACATGGCTGCCAAGTGGCATGGTTGACTTTTAAGCCCATTTCCCGCGTCTTTGAAAACTCATGCTTATCCCACCATATCACACGAAAATTATGTAAAATGTAGAGGGAAGAGGATTCTTCTTTTTGTTGCCCACACTGGAGTGTAGTGGCATGATCACATCTCACTGCAGACTCGACCTTGGGCTCAAGCGATTCTCCTGCTTCAGCCTCCCAAATAGCTACAGGCACACGCCACCACAGCCAGCGAGATTATTCTTCAAAGAGGGAAACCCTGTCCCTGACCACTTTGTCACTAGGATAACCATTTATTCTCTGTGGCTTTCAGAAGGGTGTAGCTTGGCCCTGGCTGTCAAGTTTGTGCAGAATAAATCCTGTCTTCTCTCAGCCGTCTTGGTTATTTGTACAGGACCTCTCCAGTGTTACAAGTGCCTTGCAAGTGATAGAGAATTCAAGTAGGGTTGAGAGGGGGAAGGATCGACTGTCCTAGGGCTGGCCATGCTTTCTCCTTTGTCACATAGCTGAGCTCTGTACCCCGCTGTGGGAAAGGAGAGACACAAAGGAGGCCACCTCCTTTGCCACCTTTCTAAGTTAGAGTAGACCAGTATGTGTTACGAGAAAAATTAATCCAAAATCTCAGTGTTTAGCAGCAAAAGTTTCTTTCTTTGCACGTGGTTCATATCTGGTGTGGTCGGCAGTAGGCTCTGCCACCATGTTGTGGCTGCCCTTGGGAACACGTTGCTTCGGGTCCCTGCTGCCGGGGAGGAGACAGCTGGCGGGCCATTCCGCCCCTCCTCCCTGGGCCGTCACCTGGGCCAGCCTCCACCGGACACTGGAAGCAGGAGGGTGATAGAATGTTTAGTGGGCACCGCTGCCTCTCCTGTAGCCACCAAGAAAGGGACTTCTTTCCAAGGTATGGGACTTGATGACTAAGTTGAAGTTGAATACTGAGGCCTAAGAATGCCCGTTTCTGTGCGTTAGCCTGCCAGGTAACAGCTGCTCTAGTGTTTTTGTCCCCATGGTGATAAGAGACCGGGAGTTGGCCAACTTTTTCTGTAAAGGGCCAGATGGTGAATCATTTTGGCTCCTCAGGCCGTATGGTCTGTGCTGCATTTATTCAGTTCTGCCAGAGCAGCCGAAGACCGTGTTGAACGACTAGGAGTGGCTGGGTTCCTATAAAGTTTTATTTACAAAAGCAGGAGAGAGCCTGTTGTAGACATGTGAGGAGATACTTACGAAAGCCTCGTTCTAATACTGTCCGGGTTGGCCGGTGATAATCATCTGCGGACCCTCCTCAGGTGGTGCATGTGGAGGCGTGGCCTTGCTAGTTCCTCAGCAAGTCAGTGCTGCCTTTAGGAAAGACTGGAAGAGTCACTGCTGAGCTCTGCTCACAGCCCAGGGTAGTCACACATGCTCGGCTGTGGCTTCTGCTGACTAGGTGTCTGGAAGCTGTCAGCCCTCCCAGGTGGACTCTCACTGTGTGGGATGGAGGAGGGTCCCTCCAGAAGCAGTATCTGAGCAGTGAAGCTGCACTGACGAGGTTCGCTCCTGCTCAGTGCACTCCCTGCTATGCTCCCTTCTCTAACTCCTACTCCTAAGTGCGGCGGAGAGCACGCCCCTAATCTGTGTTTGCAAGTGCACAGATCGGTAGGTTTGTGGGTTTTTAAAAATAATTCTAAAACACTCTTCTGGTTAGAAGACATGCTACAAGTACTTCTGCAGAGCACGCAGTCGCCTTTCTCTGGACAGCGGGCGTTCCTGTGTCTTAGGGGTGTGCCTTTCCTCTTGGTTCACTGTGTGGCGCTTCCAACCTGCTGGGCCACTCTTGCCAGGTAAGACGCCCTGTCTCCAGGAGTGATGTTGCCGATTCCTGACCTTGGCTACCTGTGTGCTTTCACTGGTTTCACAGCCTCATTTGGCCAGCTCTGCTGGCCACATAGACCAGCAGAGTGGGTGCCCTGAAGATGTGCTTTTGGCTTCCAAAGAGGTGGTCTCTCTCCCTCTGCCACACCTGCGCCTTGAGGTGCTTGTCTGGACCAGTGGGGCTGGCCTGTTTCTATTTCGCCGGGCGGTTGGTAGGATTGAGCACTACCAAGCAAGTGGGAGGTGTGTATTTTCGGTTCTGCCGAAACCCTCCTGGCTGTTGAGTTATGTTACTCAGACTAACAGGCGAGGAGAGGACGAGAACATAGAAGGAGAATAAAAGATGGCTTGGAAAATTTAGAATCTTTTTTCCCCTAGCTCTATTGAAATATAATTTTTAATTTTTATGAGTAGTTAGTAGGTATATTATTGAGGTATATTGACAAGTAAAAATTGTATGTCTATATATACACACACATCAAGAGCAGGAAAATTGTGTGTATTTAAGGTGTACAGCATGATGGTTTGATACAGGTATATACTTCGTAGAATGTTTACCACAATCAAGCTAGTGAAGACACCATCACCTCGCACAGCTACCTTTTTCAGTGTGTGCAGTGAGAATATGTAAGATTCCTCTCTTAGCAGATTTCCACTACACCGTACCCTCTTCCTAACTACTCAGCATGCTGGAATTAGGCCTTCAGAGCTTGCCTGTCTTGTAACTGCAAGTTTGTTCTGTGTGACTAACATCTCCCCACTCTGCGGTGCCTGGTAACTACCGTTCCGCTCTCTGCTTCTATGAGTTTGACTAAAAATTCAGAATCTTTAAACAAGCAAAACAGCTTTTTTAGATGAAAGTAGCCATCATCTGGCTGATTTTTATTTCAGTCTGACTTGTAGATGAGAAGGGTATTTACACATCTGCTTTATCTGTTCCGCCTCCGGGAATGATGGGGCGGGGGCCTGTGGGAAAGCCTCCGTGTGAGAGCAGGTGAACATAAGCCTCGGCCCACTGTGGGCTTCATCCAGGAGCTGTGAAATGGACCGGAGTCTGGGTCCCACCCCAGGAGATTCTGATGTAATTGGGCTTGGGCTGGGTGGAGCCTGGGCACCTGGATCTTAAAAGCTTCCCAGGTGACTCTAATGTGCAGCTAACTTGAGACCCGCCATCAGCGCCTGCCCACTCTTGGATCAGCCAGTGTTTAGTAACTTGCAGCCTTTACTTGAGGGGGAGGCCAATTTGAATCGCTTTGTAATGTAATGGATGTCTTGCTACTTCTCAGTTCTATTCAGGAGGTACTTGAGTACCTACTAGGTACAAGACAGTGTTGTTAAATTAGAGGATTTAAGTATGTACGAGATATGGTTCTTGTCTTCAAGAGCT